ATATACTTATAAAATCTGAGGTGAGGGTACAAATATGGAGGTTAACGTAACAATATATATATATAGAGAGAGAGACGCTTCGAGAATTTGAAGTTTTGTTTTTTATTTTGATGGTGCAGTATATTTTAAGAAACATGCTTTTCACATTGAATGTATAAAATTATGTTCAAAATATTTAGTTTTCGGCATTAAATAACCCATAGAGGTTGATATGCCTCTAAACAAAATCAACCAACCAACAATACCTATTTATAGTATATATTTAGTTGAAGCCATAACATTGTGTTCAAAATATTTAGATTTCGGCATTAAATAACCCATAGAGTTGTTGATATGCCGCTAAACAAAATCAACCAACCAACAATACCTATTTATAGTATATATTTAGTTGAAGCTATAACATTGTGTTCAAAATATTTAGATTTCGGCATTTAGATTTTCAACCAACCAACAATTAAATAACCCATAGAGTGTTCAAAATATTTAGATTTCCATTAAATAAACAAAAGTTGTTGAACAAAATCAACCAACAATACCTATTTATAGTATATATTTAGTTGAAGCTATAACATTGTGTTCAAAATATTTAGATTTCGGCATTAAATAACCCATAGAGGTTGATATGCCTCTAAACAAAATCAACCAACCAACAATACCTATTTGTAGTATATATTTAGTTGAAGCCATAAAATTGTAAAAATTTTGTTTATTTTTAAATATTTGATATGCCTTCTTTGTATTAAACCAACCAACCCTATTTATAGTATATATTTAGTTGAAGGTGTTCAAAATATTTGATATACCACTAAACAAAATCAACCAACCAACCATCTAACTGAGCTTGCCTAGTTCTTGCAAGGTTCTTTCTGTAAATAAATTGTTGAGCTTTCTACACGAAAAAAGCTTCTGGGTGAAAATCCTTCTTATTCAGTCCGCATTTGTTTCGAAAATTGTTTCACCCCTTCGTGTCAGCATCTGGTTAAATTATTTCAGAGATGGCATGTTTTGATAACAGATTTGCCGCATCAAAGTTTCTTTCCAAGTGAAACATTGGACCTGAAATGGGTTAATATTGGTCCCAAATCACGACTCCCTGAAACAACTGCTGTAAATTCGAAGACTGGTGTTTTAGAGTCAGTATTTTCAGGCTATTTTTGAAATCCTTGTTTCTCTGTTTTTGGTAAAATCTTCCTGTTTTTTTCTGCAGTTACAGACCGAAATCTCGAATTCCTGATACGTTAAGAACTTTCCCCTTATCGCTCTTTGATCAGTCAGTTTACATCCATGATATATGGTTGAGCGATCATATCTTTTTCGATTCATGACAGACTAGGCAGATATTCCCGCAGTAGGCGACAGTTTATTTTTAAGGTAGACTCGTTGCCAACCAAAGCTATAGAACCTAGTCTGTCCTAATATTTAACCCATAGGTGGGGGGACAAAAGAAGAGATGGATTCATTCCTTTCCAAGTATATTTGATTGCAAATAATGTAACGAACCCGGGTGGAATTCGAACTCGCTTTTCGATATGAAATTTCTTAATATTAAACTATTCTTGTTAAGTTAATATTATGAACTCCTGCTGAGCGGTTCGTTGCCTCCTCGATAAGCAGTGGCTCCAGGTGACTTGACAAAATCTAAATTAGCGTCCATGTTTAACTTGCTGAGTGGGCTGCCGGTAAAAATGGCGGGAAATGTGCCGACAAAAAGAAAAATAGATCCAACGCTATTTTTTCATCTAACCGCGATAGACCCGCCGTTTACCAATGCTTATTGGCTGATCTCAATAAAGTGCCTCGGCGTTTGATTAGTACATAAAAGAAAAACGTGATCTCTCACTGGGTTGGGGGAGAGGGGTTGAGGCAGAGACGTCCTCTCGTCGACCTCGAGATCAAATATCATAAGCGTTTGATCGCATTCCAGTTTCAAAGACTTACAAAGTCAGCTGTTACTGCAAGTGTGACTGGTTTCCATTTTTCTTTTTATATAAAGCGACGGAAAAGGGCGACAGATCTGAAAAGGTCAAAAAGAATCAAAACCTAAAAAAAGTAAATATGGAAGGCAAGGGGTTCTTTGGCGAACATAAATAAACGCGTATCAAAGGAAACGCTAGAACGTTTGTTTGTGCAAAAGGATTACTAAGGCGAGTTTGTGTGAAAGAAAATTTTCATTTTATGGATAAGAATTTTATTAATGATAACTATTACGCTAGCAAGCCATGATTTACATATTTCCTTAGCTAAGCTGTGTCTGGCACAAGGTTAAACAGGTTGACGTATTACGCATTACGTACTTGCGATAATTAACAAAGAGGAGAAAAATCTTGAAAATGACCTTTTAAAAGGCTTACTTTTTTACCTGGGCGCGATCATCAACTTCCAGCAATTTGGAAGTAAAAGTCCCCCAATTTTTAAAGGAATATCGGATTTAAGGAACCACCGGTGAATCACATGAACTATAAAAGGGTTTAACTGAAAGACATTTATTTCTTATCTTTTTTCTTGCACTTTTTCCCTCTTTCCAAAAATGTCTCCACATTTTTGCCAGAGTTTATTTATAATTGACAGTATCTATCTATCTATCTATCTATCTATCTGAGTCTGTTAGTATCTATCTATATATCTATCTGCGTCTGTTTATACCTAACTATCTATGTATCTATCTCATTCTATTCGTATCTATCTATCTATCTATCTATCTATCTCAGTCTATGCATATCTATTTCAGTCTATTCATATCTATCTATCTATCTATCTCAGTCTGTTCATATCTATCTATCTGTCTGTTCATTATTTATCTATCTATCTAGTTCGGTTCATATCTATCTATCTGAGTCTGTTCATAACTATCTATGTATCTATCTCATTCTATTCATATCTATCTATCTATCTATCTATCTCGGCCTATGCATATCTATTTCAGTCTATTCATATATATCTATCTATCTAGTACGGTTCATATCTATCTATCTATCTATCTATCTATCTATCTATCTATCTATCTATCTATCTATCTCAGTCTGTTCATAATCTATCTATCTATCTATCTATCTATCTATCTCAGTCTGTTCATATCTATCTATATATATTAAAGACATTTTTATGTTTAAGGTTCTTCTTTTTTTTTTAAGAACATTTGCTGCCGAAATACACGAATATGGGATAAAGTGCTCAGTATAGATAGAGCGTATGTTTATGGAGCTTTTTTTTATGCCAGAAAGGATTGACGAAAACTTCGCATCCATCACATTTCCATTGCTGAAATGTATCTTAGCTATTCGCCTCACGTAGAAAACATTACGTACGTTTTACCCTGTTATCGGCATTGTGCTGAGCGAAAAAATAAACATTTCATATCTGCTTGCTTCTTCATATCGCGTCATGGTCACCACTGTCATTTTATAGATAGATAGATAGATAGATAAATATGAACAGACTTAGATAAATAGATAGACAGATAGATACATACATATAAACCGAACTAGATAGATAGATAGATATGGACAGACTCAGATAGATAGATAGATAGATAGATAGATAGATAGATAAATAATGAACAGCTGAGATAGATAGATAGATAGATAGATAGATAGATATATTGAAATGGACAAAGTCCGACAATTTATTTATTAAAGACATTTTTATGTTTAACGTTCTTTTTTTCTTTTCTTTTTTTTTATATAGATACAAGTATTTAAGTAAATGCTCTGTTTATAATAAACAGTATTAAATAACATTTACCGGCCTGAATGTCCGAGAAATTTTCATAGAAAATATTCGTCCTTTCACAGGATTCGAACCTGCATCCTATATGCTGACGTGCCTTAACCGACTCGGCCACAAATGAGCGTTCGGTAGACAAGGTCGAATTTACTGCTTATAAACTTCAATCTTCCATGAATCTCGTACATTCATAACTGCTCTGGCGTATCAAATGTAAGAAAATGACGTCATACATTACGAATTGGACAAAGTCCGACAATTTATTAAAGACATTTTTATGTTTAACATTCTTTTTATAGATACAAGTATTTAAGTAAATGCTCTGTTTATAATAAACAGTATTAAATAACATTTACCGACCTGAATGTCCGAGAAATTTTCATAGAAAATATTCGTCCTTTGACAGGATTCGAACCTGCATCCTATACGGAACCGTCATTTATGCTGACGTGCCTTAACCGACTCGGCCACAAATGAGCGTTCGGTAGGTCGAATTTACTGCTTATAAACTTCAATCTTCCATGAATCTCGTACATTCATAACTGCTCATGGCGTATCAAATGTAAACAAATGACGTCATATATTAAAAAATGGACAAAGTCCGACAATTTATTTATTAAAGACATTTTTATGTTTAACGTTCTTTTTTTTTTTTTAATACAGGTTGTCTCTAAAATCTGGACACATAAGAAATGTGTTATTTTCATTCAATGTAATGAAGACATAACAGCGCCAAGAAAATGAATTTCGGACTTAAATAATCCATAAGGAGTTGATATGATATATCTAAAGAAACAGGAAGAAAAAAAAGGAACAAATCAGAAAAAAGTGTGTAGCAAACTGTTGTGGTGTTCTCCCTCTAAGAATCTATGTTAGACTCTTCCTCCGCCTACTATAAAATTAGTAGGGCAGAATGTTTCGGGAAACCGTGAATAGATTGAGCGCTAATTCATTCAATACACACTTACTAGTCGTGTAATACTCTTCTGGAGTACTTACTGTTTAATATACGATATATCTGCAAAAGTGGTTTTTATTATTATTACTTAAGCATTTATTTGGTCACAACACAAACACAAGTAGCGAACGAATTAGAGAAAAGGCGAACAATGCACAAACAACGAGCGCTGGAAACGAATTGAGGAATTGTTTAATGGCGACAGATGACTAGGCCTAGGCATCAATTTATATGGATACAAACTGGGGCTTAAATTATTTTTTGTATGGATGGAGGGGACGGAAATAAGAGAGAGGGGGCGAGAGGAAGAGATTAACAGTCAACAAAAGATAAATATGAGATAGATATATAGAAAGAGAGAGAGATAATGAACAGACTGAGATAAAGAAACTAAGATAGATAGATAGATAGATAGATAGATAGATAGATTAGGTTGGGTCATAAGTAATTTCCATTTTGGGGAAATAATTGTACTGACGAATGTATCATTTTGGCTACTAATCATAGCCGCTAAAGAAACAGGAAGGAAAAAAAGGAACAAATCAGATAGATAGATAGATAGATAGATAGATAGATAGATTCGGCACTTAAATTGGAGTATACTAACGTATATATATATATATATATATATATATATATGTGTGTGTGTGTGTGTGTGTGTGTGTGTGTGTGTGTATAGATAGATAGATAGATAGATAGATAGATAGATGGATAGATAATGAATAGACTGAAATAGATAGATAGATAGATAGATAGATAGATTCGGCAGTTAAATTGGAGTATACTAACATATAGATAGATAGATAGATAGATAGATAGATAGATTCGGCAGTTAAATTGGAGTATACTAACAGATAGATAGATAGATAGATAGATAGATAGATAGATAGATAGATAGATAGATAGATAGATTCGGCAGTTAAATTGGAGTATACTAACATATATATATATATATATGTGTGTGTGTGTGTGTGTGTGTGTATATAGATAGATAGATAGATAGATAGATAATGAATAGACTGAAATAGATAGATAGATAGATAGATAGATAGATAGATAGATAGATAGATTCGGCAGTTAAATTGGAGTATACTAACATATATATAGATAGATAGATAGATAGATAGATAGATAGATAGATATGAATTTCATGAGATAGGTGGTTATGAACAAACGGAGATAAAAAAAAAAAAAGATCAGTAGATAAATAGATAGCCCTGAACAGACTTAGATAGATAGATAGATAGATAGATAGATAGATCGCTAGAAAAGAATCTGAGCATTTGTTTAATGGCGACAGATGAATCGGCCTAAACATCAATTTATATAGATTCAACCTGGCGCTTAAGTTATTGTTTATGTGGAGAGAGAGAGAGAGAGAGAGGACGGAAATAAGAGAGAGAGGGCCAGAGGTTCGCTTATCGCCCGTTTCACGCTCCTCCCGGGGTTTTTTTAATAGTAATAGAGGTTTATCCTTTGGTTCCTGTTTAGGATTGGGTTTCCGGTTCTCCCTATAGTAGGCACCTACGCAGAAAATCGAAACCTAAGATTAAAATGAATTTTTAAACATGAAAAATCTTTCTTGATGCTTTTATTTTAGTTTTAATTTTGAGCTAATAGATTAAATTTAAAATTTCCAATCGGCAAAATAGCAAACGAATGAGACTTATCTGTCAACATCTTAGCCCATCAATTAAATCAATCAACACCTTAGAAAAAATAGGACTGTTGGTTAAGAAATGCTTTAATACTACGTTTTTTATGCTACAAGTAAGTAATATTTCTTTCAAATCATATGAATTTGATTTTAAATTTGTTTATTTTCCTCAAATAATGTGTCACAAATATATATTTTATTTTTGGAAAATTTTTAAAACCAATAATTAAATTTTGTTTACAAATGTCTTAACTTGTGGAAAATGGCCGCTTGTAATGGGTTTTGTGAAAGCGAGCAAATAATTGACATTCCAATCAAATATAATATCCATCCGAAATCCACCAGACTATTTTGCTTATAGGAAATAGTAAATTTACTTATTTAGCTTTCAATTAAAGCTAAAATGAAATGTTCAAGAATGATTTTTCATTTTTAAAAATTAATTTTAAAGCTTTGGTATCGAAAATTTACATCGAATTAAGGAAGGTATCTACTCTTAATAATAACAATTTTATTAAGTTTTGGGCATTTTTTCATCGTCGTATGCTCATTTTTTTAGCGAAGCTATGGAAGGATCTAAGTATAAGTAAATTTTGTTTCCATTTTCTCTAAAACTGTGTCGTTGTTCACATGTTCGATTCGTGATATTCTGAGCTCACTTATATAGAATCAAATTTAGATTGCTTCAAGTCTCTTCGTCAAGAGAATCTCCGTGGAAGCCTGAAGAGCAGGGAGCGAAACCGGTTGCTTCCCCACCCTTGTTGTGTTTTTTTTTTTTTTATTATTTAATATTGTTTAATATGTCTTGTAATATTAAATTTTATACTTTTATTTCGATATATATATATATATATATATATATATATATATATATATATATATATATATATATAGAAAGAAGAGAGAGAGACCGCAAACGTCTTTGGTTGTAATGTGGATTTTTTTTGTTTTAAATATTATGTTTTATTTTCCATAATTTTTTATTTTTCCATAATTTTTCCGGTCTCGCGACCGTCATCAGGCAAAGGGTGGAGATTTCCACATATTATTAAAAATAAATCATTTTTTTCCTTTGTGATTTTCGATGTTAAATATTCTCGATATGAGTCATTATCTTTTTCTGTGTTAGTGACCCAAATGTCTTTCTTGAACTGGCAGTGAAAGCATAATATTGTTTTTTTAAAAATCCACATTACAATCAAAAACGTTTGTGGTCTCCCTCTTTTTTTTAATATACACACTTTTCTCTCGTTGGAACTACTATAACCTCTTCCCTTATATATATATATATATATATATATATATATATATATATATATATATATATATATCGTCGTTGTCGGCATCCGTCCGTCCGTCTCTCGAGCCTGGGCAGGATATATGGAGAACTAGGGCTGCCCGGACGTCTAGTTCCCCCTCTCGGCTTTGCTAGTAGTGTCCAAAGGAAAGGATAAACCAATACAGTTTGGTACCAGCGCGACTGCAGGAGTTGCCGGACGGTAGCACAAAGTGCCGTCCATCCTCCTTAGGGGCTCCACTCTGGGTTTGAATTCAGATTTGTCCTTCTTCTAGACCAGTTGCCATCCAAGGCTATAGAACCCAGGCTATCCTGCTATTTACCCATAGCTGGAGGGAGAAGAAGATTCACACCTTTCCCAAGGGTATTACCACGTAAGGATAGATAGATAGATAGATAGATAACGAACAGACTGACATAGATAAATAGATTGATAATGAATATATATATATGTGTGTGTGTGTGCCTGACGATCGCAAGAGCGTGAAACCCAGGGTCACAAACTCACATCAACCCAACCATATATATATATATATATATATATATATATATATAGCCAAAATTCGCTTGAAGATGAAATGTCTATTTTAATCACAAAATTAAATTCGGGGCTTTTAGCTTCCATTTTTGAAACATGGTTAGAACTGTGTAGCGAAAAAAACCATATTTTAAATCAATTAATTTATAATATATATATATATATAATTTAATAATATATATATATATATATATATATATATATATATATTGATTGTTGTCGGGCTCACATTATTCAAGACAACAAAAGTAGCAAGAATTTTCTTTGAGTCCTTGTGTAATTATTTTTCAATATCTGCATCGCCTACTTTTTTTTTCTCTTTTAATTGTGAGGGCATTTGGGTACATGCGTGCATAGCGCGTTCGTTTCAACTCCAAGCGGAAATGCTTCCCCCTACGCACCCCGAATGTTTGGCAGGACGGAAGCTGCGACACACATCTTTCAAGAAGCACCCACATAAGGCGGATTTCTCCTTTAAATAAACAAATGCCGTTGCGAGTCATCTCTTCGATTCCAATGTGGGTATAAATACAAGGGGAGGTTAATTAGCGACAGAAGGTCGGGGAGGTGGTAGACATACAGGCGATCTAGCAGAGCCCAGCAGGAGAGATATTCGTGCATACCGGCATGCAAAGAAAGCACATGTTATTTTTGCAGAAGTCCACATGAAAATTGGTTAGCTTGAATGATAGATAGATAGATAGATAGATATGAACAGACTGAGATAGATAGATAGATAGATAGATAGATAGATAGATAGATAGATAGATAGATAGATAATGAACATACTGAGATAGATAGATAGATAGATAGATAGATAGATAGATAGATAGATAGATAATGAACAGACTGAGATAGATAGATAATGAACATACTGAGATAGACAGATAGATTGATATAAACAGACTGAGATAGATAGATAGATAGATAGATAGATAGATAATGAACATACTGAGATAGATAGATAGATATATAGATAGAT